TCACGAGTGAAGCACCCAACATTCTTTGCATATTCCCTATTTAAACAACCCTTTCTCTTCCAGTTAACCAGGTCTTTCTCTTGCTGGTGATGGAGAACAACACCTTACATAGAAACTGGAGCCTGGACTGGCCGCATGCAGGGGCTCTGGGGGCGAGATTTGGGAAAACTGGAATTGGTTATGGGGATTGCTTGGGGATGAGTTAGTAAAAATGGGCACATGGTTAAGACAGCTGTAGAGGCCTGTGGTCTGTAGCTGGAGTCAGGTACCTGGTGTGCAGCCAGAGAGAATGTTAGCTCTGCCATTTGGGGTCACCTGGACTGAATATGAAGACATGTGTCTCTGGTCCTTAGAAGGAAATCAAGGAAGGATTCTATTGTGGGAGGACCAGGGGATAATATCTTAAACTCCTGAATTCTTGTTTTGTTTTGTTTTATTGTTGTTATTTTTTTTTTTGAGACATGGTTTCTCTGTAGCCCTGGCTGTCCTGAAATTCACTCTGTAGACCAGGCTGGCCTCGAACTCAGAGATCTGCCTGCCTCTGCCTCCTGAGTGCTGAGATAAAAGGCGCGCACCACTAATGCCGGATTCTTACTCAGTACCCAGATCAAGAACTGAGGGCACAGCAAGGCTCTGGATTCCATCCTCGGCATCACATGAGCAGAACAAAATAAACTGAGAGCAAACCCCAAGGAGTTCTGCCACTTCCCTGAAAGTTCAACAGAATTCTTGCAGCCTCAGGACAGAGTTAAAACTGAAACCCAGACCCGACCTGTAGAACGGCGAATTACATCCTTAGCAAGGGATCACAACCCCTCAGGAGCATCTCGGGATACTCTGAACCAGGATCCCCGCAGAGATCCTTCACAGCTAGTGAAGGAAGAGATGGGGGATGGATGGATGAACGGATGATAGTGTGTAGATGGATATTGGATGGGTAAATGAGCGGAGAGATGACAGGTGGATGGATGAATGGATGGATGGATGGATGGATGGATGATGTTGAATGGATGGATAAGTGGATGACAGCTAGATGCTAGATGGGTGATCATGTAGATGGGGGTAGATAAGTGTAGATAGAGAGGTGGGTGGATGATGGGTAGATGGATAGAGAGGCAGGGCATTGTGGATAGATGAATGAATAGGTGGATGAGTAGTTGGCTGGAGGATGGATGGATGGGTAGAGGATAGGTGAACAGTGGGTGGGGAGATGATGGATAGATAAATGGATGATGAGTGGATTAATGGAGGATGGATGACTGTGTAGATGATGGGTATGTGGAAGGATGGTGGATGGGCAAATGGATGGCTGAATATGTAGGTGGGTGGGTGAAGGGTACACAGAATTGGATGTCTGACACCTGAAGCTGCACCTGACATTACCAGGGCCCCTGGGAACACAACCTATGAGGTCTTTAGACTACGGTCAAGTTTATATAAAGTTGAACACTGTGAAGACTTTTTTTTTTATACCAGTAAAGCTCCAGAGGCCCCAGAGTGGGCTGTCAGTGTGCACACTGAAGATGCAAGGACTGTCATGGAGTCCCACAGGACTTATGAGTGCAGTTGTACTTATCAGTGCCTCTGAATTCAGGATGCTGTCCCCATTGGTGAGGGTGGCTCTGACAGCTCCCCACTAGCTTGCTGGAAAGCAGCTGAGCAGAAGTATGGTCCGCACTGGCCAGGGTGGACACACAGTGCCCAGCATCCCACAGGGACACATCTTCCAGAAGGGTTTAAGTTCGTTGACTAGTAGTCTGACTGAGGCCCCAACAGGCCAGAGACATGCAGCCTCCCCAGCCCCACATCTGACCTGGTTCTCAAACTCAGAACTTCTTATGGGGAGGAAGTGGTCTGGCCCATGAATGTCCCTCAAAGGGAATGTTGCCACTTGTAGGGGGACCAGTGGCACCCTATGGGCCTGTGGGTGGGGTTTGGAACTCAGTGAGCCCAGGTGAACTGAGCAGAATAATAGGACAGCACCTATTGTTGCCCCAGTGAGTCTGAACCCCTTTGCTCCATCAGGTTCTAGCTTCACCTCACCACACTGCTGTTAGCCATTGGCTGGTCGCTGAGAAGAGAGAACAAATCCATCATTTACCAGGCCAAACACGCTGGTCAGGCCTTTGCCCTTGGGTCTCTAACCTGTGCAGCAGTTCTGCGAGACTATGCAAAGGGAGGAAACAAGCCTGCAGTAGGGACCTGCATTCATCTTTTCCACTGTGGGTTTCAAGCTCTTCCATTAGTAGAACGAGGTGACAAATACAGAGAGCGGGACATGGTATGGGTGACACACAGGAGATGAAGAAGTGGGACAGATGGCTCAGGGATGAGGGATAGACTAGATGGATGGAGGGGTGGAGGGAGGGATGGACAGAGGGAGGGATGGACGGAGGGATGGTTGGAGGGAGGGATGGACGGAGGGAGGGATGGATGGAGGGAGGGATGGATGGATTCATGGACACATGTGTGAGTGGGTGAGTAGATGGGTGGGTGGTGGATAGACATGAGAAACGGATGTGGGTGGATGAGCAATAGATGAACATGTGAGTAGTAGACTGATGGATGAATGGGTAGGAAGATAAATGGATTAGGAATTAATGGATGGATGAATTGGTGGATGTGTAGTTGATAGATGAGCAGTTGGATGAATGGCAGAAACACGGATGGATGGATGGATAGATGAATGTGTTGATGAGGGCATGTGTAAATGAGGGGGTGGGTGGATGAATGGATGGATGCATGAGTGGACAGGCAAGTGGGTAGGTGTGGGTATATCTGAATGACGGATTGGCAGGTGGATGGACAGGCAGATGGATAAATGAGTACACAAATGGATGTGTATATGAAGGAGTGGTGGATAAAGGAATGATGGGTAAATGGATGTACAGAGGGAATGTGTAAATGGTGAGTGGATGGATGGGTAGATAAATAGAAGAGTAGACAGCCAAATGAGTAAATGCATATATATATGAATGATGGATTGGTGGGTAGGTGGGCAGGCAGATGAGTGGATGAGTAGACAAGCAGATGTATATATAACTGATGGATGGGTGATGGAGGGGCCTCTACCTCAGCAGACTTGGAGTGAAATGACACTGGACACACATAGAAGGTATTGGACATGATCTCAGACTCCATTGGTCTCCCCAACAAGGAATGCGATGGGCCAAGCAAGGGACTAGTGAGAAAGTGAAACCTCTTGTCAACAGTGGCACCCCGAGTCTATAGTTCTCCAGCCACTGAGTACGCAGTGGGTGCACTCATGCAGAAGTGCTGGCCTTTGGGGCAGACACACTTCCTCCTTCCAAGAACAGACAATGACCTTCCCAGCAGTCTTTTCCAAGTGACTGAGACAGACACATCAGATACCTGTGAGATGCTAAAAAGAAGTGACTAGAGTAAGTCCTGTGGCTTTTCCTTGAAGTGTTACCATGGAGACAAGGGAGGCAGGAAGAGGATGCTGAGCTGGCACTCAGGAGGCAGAGGCAAGAAAACCTCTACAAGTTCAAGGCCAGCTTGGTCTACATAGTTGGACTCCAGGCCAGTCAGGGCTATGTAGTGAGGTTCTGTCCCAACCCTGCCCCTGCTCCCCCCAAAAAGAGAAAATACCTTCCTCAACAGAAGAGTTTGGGGGGGGGGAAGAGTTTTGGGGAATGCCATTTTAGCGTGACAATTTGGGGGCCCACTAGGTCCCTGAAGGTCCACAGATTCAGTGTGTCTATCTGGCAAGAAACACAGGTAAGAGGACTGATCCAGACAGCGTTTCTGGAAAGTTCCTGCTATCATCCATGAAGTAGCCCAGCTGTTAGCAGCTGTCAAGATGTCTCATGCCCTGGGGCCAGCAGCTGTCTCAATTCCTATACCCTGCTGAGTCTCCTCCCACTCGCACGCCCCCCCCCCCAACCCAGCACTGGCTTTGGTGTTTGGGAAACTGGATACTGGGGGTCCAGAGAAAGGGGTTCTACACCAGAATGTTAGGGTGGATAGGTGATTCTAGGCATTTCCCATAGCTCCACACACGACCATGGGCTAGACCCAGGTTGGGACTCCGGATAGAATTAGATCATGTGGTTCTGGAAGCACTGGCAGGGACAGACACTTGTAGTAGGGCTCAAGGGGTGAGTGAACAAACTGAGTCGTAACAATGGAGCCTCTACCTCAGCCGAATGCCCGCCATGCCCTTGCACATATCAAGGGACACAGAGTCCAGCACTTCAGGGTCGTTGTTGTCATCTTCTTCTTTTTTTTGTCTTTCAAGACAGGGTTTCCCTGTGTCACAGTCCTAGCTGTCCTGGAACTAGCTCTTGCAGACCAGGCTGGCCTCGAACTCACAGAGATCTACCTGCCTCTGCCTCCCAAGTGCTGGGATTAAAGGCGTGCGCCACCACCGCCTGGCCCAGAATATTTCTTTATAAACTGGCATCCAAGGCTCCATGGAAAGAGAAGACTATATGGTTGGAATGTTGCTCAGTGGGAGTCTGTGTGCTTAGCACATGCTGGGTCCCTCTCCAGTACCAAAATGAACCCTGGCTGGCACCAATCCCTTCTCTTCCGTATGCCTGGCTTAAGGTCACATAGCAGGTTTAGGGCTGAGTCCAGCCCAGAACTTTGCCTTTTATGAATCCCACAGTCCCTCCAGGGCCTCCTCCAGTTCCCCACACGTCACCCCTACAATGCAGGGGTTCCACATTCCCCTGGAGACTCCTGTTCAACAGAAATCAATCTCTCCACAGGAAGAGATCCAGGAGTCCAGGAGTCAGGTTGTGCTACGGAGCCAGGACCAACTCTCCCTCTCCCTGAAACACAGGATTGCTCCTGGAGCCAGGCCAAAATATGCACGCGGGTAAGAGTGTCTGGGCACATAAGGATGCCCGGTGGTGCCTAGCCTCCCTGAGTGAGAGGAACACGGAGCAAGCTGCTGGCGCATTCTGCCAACATAGAAAGGTTAATTGTCACACCAGATGCCAACAGACAGACTTCCGGAGGATTCGTTTGGTTTGGTTTCGTGGCTTTTTTTTTTTACAACTTTAAATATGGAATATAAATAAACTTTACATTTAAAAAATAAAAAGAAAGCCCCCAAAAATATAATCACCAACTTTACAAACTGAAGGAAGCGGACCTGGGAGGGGGAGGGAAAAGTGCAGGGGGAAGTTGGGGGGGGGAAGTGGGTGCGTCAACCCCAGTCCTCCTGAAGGCGCTATGGCTCTCCCTCTCTCTCCCGCTTCCAGTGTACCAGCTAGCTTCCTGGAAGAAGCCATCAGGTAAAACCACAAAAGATCTGAGGGGCAAAGTGCACGCAGGGAAGAGGGCAGGCAGCCAGGGCGGCCCCTCCCTTAGGGAGCTCCTAGCATCCCGCACCTGCCAGGAAGGGAACAGCTGAAGGAGGCAATGGGCAAAGACTGTGTTGCTCCCCCAGCACCTGAGGCTCATTCGGAGCTTCAGGCTGGGTCAGCGCGCACACAGCCAGTCTGCATAGGGCGTCAGTGTGAATTAAAACTCGGCCTCCTTTCCTCAGAGGCTTGACCTACATCTGCCAGAAGGTCATAATAGACAAATCGGCCATGTTTAGGGTGTGAACAGAATTCTCCACATGCAGTGCCCATGTGCAATACACATCCCACACAACCATACGTGGCTGTCTTGGCTGGAGAGGAATAAGACAGACAGGTCTCCTGCCCTAAGGGAAAATGGTAGGGTCGTTCAGAGCCTCAATCAGGACCCAAGCACCCCTGGTGGAGCCGACTGAAGGGTACATGAGGAAGAAGACACAGAGCGGAGGTAGAGAAATGAAACAAGAGATGCAAGGGAGGTGGAAAGAGGCAGGGGATGTGGCCCAGGTCACAAGCACACTGCATCTCCAATCCATCAGAGAAGGCATGTGGCCACCTGCCCAGAGGAGTTCATTATCTTTCTTGATTTCATATTTATAAAATAAAAAGCCACTATGGGCTGAGGGGACAGGGAGAGATGAGTGGCAGATCCGGGTGCTGAGAGGTTTCCTCTAGTCTGTGCTCCCTATGTGGTCCTGGCCACAGGACTACAAGGGACCCTAGCCTGCCTGAAAGTGCTCCCTGCTGGCTGGCCAGGGGTCCAGGAACCAGGCAGGACATGCAGAGGTTCTCAGACCAAATCCCAGGCTCCTGGGGCCAGTCCACAGTCCCCCGTGAGGCTCCCGCACACTTGTCCCACGTTCTTGGGGTCAAGGGAAGAAGCAGCATGGAATGGAGTCCTTTGTTTGCTTCTGGAGTCGCAGGACGAGCCGAAGGACTGTTGCTGGTGGAGGTGGCCGGGCACGCGGGATGAGGGAAGCACCATTGGCCGTCCGAATCAGGCATCGAGACAGACGGACGAGGGGAACAACATTATCACTCCAAGGACCCCATGGGGGCGATACAGCAAATACCATATTAAATAACCCTGCGGGTAGAACAGACAGACACAGGGTCAGAGATGGCTCAGGGGTTCCCTTGGTTCCTAGGACCCCATACCAAGAACAGGAACTGATGCTCCTACTTTCATGCTTCCAACAGACCCCAGGACTGGGATGGGGGAGTCATGGGAACTGGAGTGGAAGGACAGACATCCTCTTTGGGAGGCTGAGAGGCAGTTAGGCAGAATGACTGGGTTGAAGGGAGCAAATATCCCTGCTGGCCCTCACCCCAAATCTAAGCCACAGCTACGGAGTATCTGAGCCTTGGCTTTCTGGCCAGGTCCTCACCTGCCCACACGCTTGCCGATGCCCCTAAGCCCCGAGGGTCTCCTTCAGTGCCTCCTTGTCGTGTGTGTGCTTAAATTTTCGATGCTTCCCTTTGAGGGGTCGGCGGACTCGCACCGTCCGAACAGTCACCCGAGTTTGAGGCATCTTGGCTGCTCAGGAAGAAAAAGTGTTTGTCAGCATGGGATGGTCATGGGGTATTCTTCTTGTTGTGAGCCTTAGGGCTGGCTCAGGAAGAGGATGGGGAAGGTCAGGTCAGACTTTATGAGGTCAAAGCCAAGCCCCCCTGCTCACCAGCTGTGTCTTCTGGGGATGTGACTGAACCTTTCTATGACTCAGTTTCTCTGAGTGAGGCAAGAGGATGGCCACCTCATGGGAAAGGGAGGTGGACTACATGACAGTATGCTGGCCAAGCAGTGCCTGACCCAAGAGGTTAGGTTTCAATGTGGCCCCCAAGTCCTGTCACTGCCCAGAGATGGAGGGACATATTTTCCCACTTCCTGCAGGTGGCCTGGCCACGGGTCCCTCAAACCCAACAGGAGGTCCTGCTGGTACTGTGTACCCATCAGGCACCTGTCTTCAGAGGATGGGCACAGCCCACTTTTGTACTTTGGTCATCCTGTCTCATCGTATGAAAAATCTGGCTAGAGAGGTCGCTTGGGGACTGGTCCTCTTGCACCACAGGTGTGGCTGTTCCCTCCAGCCACAGCTAGACGACAGGAAGATCAAGCAAGCTACCCAAGGAGCCTAGCTCCTACTCAGCGCTGCGAGGCCGGGTTCCGCCACAGCACAGCATGAGTGGCAGCCCTTCCCCACTGGGAGCCTCTTGCTTCCCATCTCCCTGGCTAGCGTTCCTACTGAGACCTCTGCCACCAACCTCTGGTTCTTCTAGCCACAGGGTGAGGAGGAAGCCTCTGGGTTTCAAGCCAGAAAGAGACTTTCTTTGGAGCTGGGCCTGTCACTCAAATTCCTGGGCACTCTGAGAAGCAGAATGGAGGGCTGGGCCACAACTTAGAAGGCAGTCAGCCCTGGGCCTGACCTGGACTCTTCCAGGGACTATGTGCCATGGGGAAGGTCACTTAACCACTCTGTGCCCAAGTCTTTAAAGGACCCGTGACCTCCTAGGGCTGAGTAAGTGCATCGAAAGATGCCAGAACCCCAGCAACACCTGTTATGCACACCCGATTCCACTATAAGCTCCTTTATTTTCTTTTTTTAAAAAATATTTAGCCGGGCGGTGGTGGCGCACGCCTTTAATCCCAGCACTTGGGAGGCAGAGGCAGGCGGATCTCTGTGAGTTCGAGACCAAGCCTGGTCTACAGAGCTAGTTCCAGGACAGGCTCCAAAACCACAGAGAAACCCTGTCTCGAAAAAACCAAAAAAAAAAAATAAATAAAAAATAAAAAATATTTATTTATTTATTTATTATATATACAATATTCTGTCTGTGTGTATGTCTGCAGGCCAGAAGAGGGCACCAGACCTCATTGCAGATGGTTGTGAGCCACCATGTGGTTGCTGGGAATTGAACTCAGGACCTTTGGAAGAGCAGGTAGTGCTCTTAACCACTGAGCCCTCTCTCCAGCCCCAAGCTCCTTTATTTTCACAGTGGGTATTATTCGTCCTACAGTGTTGGGGAAACTGAGGCAGAGAGCTATGTTTGAAGCCCTGGGATCTAACTGTGCTTCACACTTTCAACACTTGCTTGAACTGACAGTTCCTGGGAGCCCTGGTCTAGTCTGACTCTCAACTACTCTTCCTTCTGGTCTCTGGCAAGCCACGCAGGAGGCCAGCTCTTCCTGGGAGTCACTGGAGAGTCCCTGGCCTCCGGCTAGTGAGACAGCTTTGCCAAGCTTTCCCTGCAGTGTAGAGATCTAGGGGAGCTCCGATTATCTGGAAGGATGACACCTAGGAGGTCAGGAATGAGCCCCCCAGAGAGCTTCTATCCCAAAGGCCAGGCCGTGCACAGGAGGCTCGGCTGGACCACGCCTGAGTCCATTCACGTAACTCACAAATGACAGATGTTTGAGCCTAGGAATTCCAAAGAGCCACTGTGCTGTACCAGAGATGAGGCTGGAGGAGTTCCTCAGTATTCTGAACATTCCAGCACTAACACTTAGGAATTCTTCTAGTGTACAGATGGTAAAGCAGGCAAGTAAAAGCTAAAGAGCTGCCGGGGCAGGGGAGAGCCACGAAGGGAATCTCAGGACACCAACGGCCTAGGATGAGCTGTGTGACCTGGAGCAAGGCCCCAGCATCTTTGGACCTCAGGTACCCCCACTACGAAAACAGGAGGAACCGCTGAGACATTTTCAACTCAGATCTGTCCGACACTTGTGGAAACAAAGACATGAACCCATCTGATGGATGCTTGGCCACCAGACTCAGCTGTCTACCAGACCAGGCTATATAGATGCCCAGCCTTTACTTGTATATCTCCACCATAACAGAAGTGAAGAGGAAGAGGACTGGTTGGATTGGTAGCAAGGGCAGGGGCTGCAACCTCATTCAGGCTGGGAAAAATCTAGATTGTTCTCAGTGAGATCAAAAGTATCAAATAAATTTACTCATAGATGTTATCTATCTGATCTCTATTAATAATTTATGTGCGTGTATGTGTGTGTGGTATATGCATTGTATGGGTTTAGCTGTGTGCGCGCGCGAGCGTGTGTGTGTGTGTGTGTGTGTGTGTGTATCTATACACATAGGCACACATATGAAGTCAGAGGCTGACATCAAGTGTTCTCTTCAATTGCTCTTCACCTTATTTTCTGAGGCAGGGTCTCTCACTGAACTTGGAGGTCACCAGCAGCGAGGCTGGCATCTGATGATGCCCTGGTATCCACCCATCTCCACTTTCCCAGTGTGGGATGACAGACACAGCTACCGTGCCCGACCAGCCCGACCAGGGACTTAAACTCTGGTACTCCTGCTTGCTCAGCAAGCACTCTCCCCACTCTCCCCAGCCTCCTGACCCCTATTTAGAGACCCACCCTTTTCCCAGCTGTGGGCTGAGCCCCACAGAGCAGCCCCTAGGAAGGCGGTTTACCTCGCTGCTCCCGGGATGTCCCAGGGCTCCGAGTCACAGGCCGAGGGGTCACTACTGTCTCACACTTGCAGGCCAGGTGGTCCTCCAGGGTCACTGTGGCCTTCTTGAAGATTGGCTTCTTCCGTACAATCTCAATCTTTCTCACCTGGGGGACAGAACGAGCAAAATTCCCCTGTAGAAGCCACCTGTGCCGGAGCCGTCTCACAGGCCTGGCAGTCTCCTGCGCTAGGTTCTTTCCTCGAAAGCCAAACGCCAGGCTTGTCTGCAGAGCCAGGGCTCTGGAGCAAACAATAGCAAGGCCTTGCCCTCGGTCCCTCTCAGAGCTTTTCCATCAAAACAAGCCCTTCGATCTAGCTGACCTGGCCTCAGCTTTGCTGTAGCAACCCCGCCCCCCCCATACCCTGACCCCCCAGAGTGGGAGAAAGGCATTTCCGGGTAGAGCCTGAGTCCTGTGGGTCCTCATTCCTGGAGCGGAGCATTGGCCAAGGCCAGGGGCTGCAGCAGAGTGGGGGGTGGGGGGGGAGAGGAGATGGTTATCTGGAAGGAAGTGAGACAGGCCTTATCTAGAAGAGAGGCTGGAAGGGAGAAGGCAGCTGTCAGGTGTCTGTCCCTAAAGCTGGGGACAGGAGATATGGTGACAGTGGGTGGGGACGCATAGCGTGTCATTCATTTGTAATCTGGGGCACAGCGAAAGGCCAGGAATGGAAGACAGGCAGGAGACTGGGCACAGGCCACAGGCAGACAGGAGAAAAGAGAGCATGGTCACGTAGTCAGGGCACTGGGGAGGGCTGGTGCTAAGCCTTGTACTGTGTGCCCAGGGGAACCTGAAAAGGGGAGGCTGACCCAGGGTACTGAGACCTGGTCTTGCAGAGTTAGAGATAGCTGAGCCTCCCTGTGCCCTGCCTGGTCCACATGAGAGCAGGAGTCAGATGTTTGAAGACAGGAGTTTGTGGGGTTGTGTCCCTGTAGAGCAGGTGACACTGGTCCACCACTTAGCATTGCATACCCAGCCACATTCTGTCTGCCTCTCAGTGACTACGGTCTGAGAGGCCTAGGAGAGTGCGTGCATCCCGTAACACTCAGCAAAAGCCCTCCAGGGGCTGGAGAGATGGCTCAGAGGTTAAGAGCACTGACTGCTCTTCCAGAGGTCCTGAGTTCAATTCCCAGCAACCACATGGTGGCTCACAGCCATCTATGATGAGATCTGGTGCCCTCTTCTGGCAAGCATACATGGAAGGAATGTTGTATGCATAATAAATAAATCTTTAAAAAAAAAAAAAACCCTCCAACCCGTGGCCACTGGTCTGCTGCTGGGGCGGGGCCCAGCGCGGGGCGGGACGGGGCGGAGTCTGCGCACCTGCACTGGCCTCATCTGCACTTGCGAGGCCCGGCACTGCACGTTGCGGTTGTTGCAGCAGCCAGAGCAGCGCTGTACCTCCACGCAGGGCGGCCACACCAGGAAATTGGCGTTGGTGCGATCGATGAGGTTCCGCGAGATCTGGAACACCTCTGTGCGCGTCTTGCACTCGGCGATTACAGCGGGCTCTGCGGCTGCCAGGGAACCTGAGGGCGGGGCGACAGAAGAGGCTGTCAGGAGAGGAAGGTCTTTTTTGGAACCAACCCCCATCCAGACAGCCCTGAACTTGGGTAGATGGCTGGACCATCCTGAGCCTCAGTTTACATCATCTGACAACGAGGACAATGATATCTACCCCCAAGAAGCATGGTCAGGATCAGGCCAGATCATCCCGTGTGATCTCGTAAATGTTTAGTGCATGCCTGTCCCACCATCCTGGATCCCAATTGTTCAGATTCACAGGGCTGTGTGATTGGCCCACCTGAGTCCTCACCCACTGTTAGCCTGCCGGCTTGCACTGGTCTTTTGTTGTTGTTTGTTGTTTTCATGATCAAACTATCCAGGATAGCGCTGACTGTCCTGGAGCTCACTCTGTCAACCAGGCTGGCCTCGAACTCACGGAGATCCGCCTGCCTCTCTGCTTCTGCCTCTGCCTCCAGAACGCTGGGATTAAAGGCTTGCACCACCAGCGCCTGGCTGTACCGCCCTATTCTTATGTGACTCTTTCAAAGTCTCATCTGCCTCATCTGTGAAATGGGATAGCGGCAGAGCAATGCCTCTCCCCTGAGCTGAGAGGAAGAGGGTGGGTGAAGCCTACAGCAAGTGCTCAGTCATCCCCAGAGAAAGGTTAGCAGATGGCAGTGGGGCTCGGGGACCTGCAGGATCTGCCAGCCACATCTCCAGGGACTTGGAAACTGTAGGTGGCTTCTCCAAGGCCTACAGATCTACTGGCTTGGTCTCTGCCAAGGAACAACCAGCAGTCCTAAGCTGGGCTTAGTGCCTCTGCACTAGGCCACAATGTAGCCCTGAGCCACAGTGGACAGAGGACCCACCCAGAATACCTTGGGCTCAAGTGCGTCAAGTAAGGGCTCAGTCCTTCCATTCCGGTTTCCCCACCCTGGTTTCTAGGCCTTTGGAGTGGAACTGACTACATCTGTTCCAGGGTTGGAGTGAGGAAGCAGTGAGTGCAAAGGCAAAGGCAGAGGTAGGCAGATCTCTGGGAATTCGAGACCAGTCTGGTTTACCTAGTGAGTTCCAGGCTAGCCAGGACTATGCACTAAAACCCTGTTTCAGAAACAAAAAGACCCAAGCCACTATATTTTAAAAGCACAGCATGGGGTACAGGGCATGGTAACTCAACTTCAAAGATGGCTACACTCCTCATTCAGTTCTTACAGTAGGGAAGGGATTTGGAAGGTGACCCCAATCCAGGATGGCTATGTGCCCTGGTCTTCCTTCCCTGGATCCCACTCTTTGAAGGGCCACTATATGGACCTTCAGTTTTACCTAGGCTCCTCCTCCCTCGAGATGAGCTTTCTGGCTCGCCTCCAGAGTGGGCTCGGGTCATGTTCAGGTCCAGCTCAGCCCCATTTTCATCTGCAAAGGAAAGGAAGCATAGTCAGGCATGCTGACCCAGGCTGCTACCACAGGACTGGGTTGAGGATAGCATCTCTACATTCTGGGACCCCGCCCTTCGTGCTCTCAAAACCTGAGGTCCCTGGCCCTGAAGAGGCAACCAGGCAAAGCCTTGGGCAGCTGAATGGCTCATGGGGCTGGTGGGGCCTGACTGCATCTTTGGGAGCCTCCAACGAGTTTTTAGCCCCATTTTTGGCCAGAACCCATGTCAATGGAGTTAAAAATAACCCTTCCCCTTTGCTACTGTCAGCGAACCCTCCTCGGCCTCCAGGGTGGAGCAGGGACCCAGAGCACTGGAGGCCAGTTCCCAGTGCCCTCCAAAGCGTTCCCATAGGAAGTGCTGGTTGGAGAAATTCCCAGAATCCCCTCGGGGCTAGCAGGCCCAGTACAGCCTGCTGGAGCCTTGACAATGGCCCTACTGGTCTGGAGAGAAAGGGTGGAGAGGGAAGGGGGTGGGAGGGCCTGCGCCAGCCACACTAGGTCAGCTCTCTCCCCAGCTTTCATCTTTCTGGGCTTCTCTTCCTGTCACTAGCCGAAGTTCCCTCTCTAAGCTGGAGTCTGCTACCAGCTCTCCTTGGTGACACCTCCACCCACACACCTCGCTGCCCCGAGACATTGGCCAGGGCTGCCCACTCTTCCTAGGATGGCAGGGTGATGAGGAGGCTTTGAACTTGATCCTGATGGTGGATAGCCCCTCTTATCTCTCAGTGGTGAGGATCAGCAAATGAACTGAGGGATGCTGGAGACAAGCCTCTGCCACCTCCTTATGGCACCTGGGGGGACCATATTATCTTCCCCAACCGGCTGGTCCCATCAAAGGCAAAGGCTTCTGCCAGCTGCCGCCCTATCTAGGATTCCAGGGGTCCCGCAGATCGCCACTGACTGATTGGTCTGCTTTGTCCAGCCCAACAGTGTTAACCACGTCAGTCTGTCTGTCTGTCCCTTATTCTCTTTCTCACTGCCATCTCTGGAATGCCCCTGGTGGGGACGAGAAGGGGAGAGATGTACTTTGTGGAAAGGTTAAGTTGATTAGGAAAAAATAGCCACATGGTTGCCTCGAAACAGACCTGCTATTGAAAACCTCACATTCAAGATCCCGACCCCCACCAGGGGTGTGGAGGGGCTGCCCGAGCTGGGCAGCAGAGCGCCTTGGAAAGAAACAGCAAGATGGCTAAATTTGGAAGTTGCCCCATTGTGTGGCCAGGGCTGGTCAGCCGGGCACGGGTGGGAGACATCGGGTGGGGGCCCTAGTGAACAATAGGGGGGCCCAGCTGGGCCCCCTCCTGCCTGTCTTGCCACCCCCCAGCCCTGGCAGTATTGAAAGGGCCCGGGAATGCTTTTGAGAAGGAGCCAGGGGCCCAACGGAGAGAGGAAACAAAGGCAGGAAATGCTGTTCCCCCGTAGATAGCGTCTGGGCAAGAATTACAAAGTGACAAAGAGACAGGACCCCAGAGGGACAAGGGCCCGCGGGTGCGTGGGGGGTGGAGGCTGGGGGGCTGCTGAACAGGGCTCTAGGGACCAGGCCAGAGGTCAGAATAGAATGGAATTTGCTCTGAAGACTGCATTTATAAATACATTCCCAGCCCAACCCGCCGGCCCCCGCCACGTGTGTGCCACCAAGCACGTGCCCATTCGCCCAGTGCACTCTTGGGCATGGGCAGGGCTGCCAGCTGGTCTTAGCCAGGTGTCCCCAGGAGACCTTGTCAACCAGGCCCTGGGCCAGAGGGGCAGGAAGACGTCTTCTATAGCTCCACCCTCTTCACCTGGATAGGTATTTAGTACATGCCCTGAGTGCTTTCTCTCTGCCCGCCCTGCTCCAGGGACCCCACCCTCTGCACCAAGCCAGAGTCACACGTGGGTGCTGCTTCTGCCACACCCCATGTCCCAGGTACCAACCCGTCAGCCTGCTCTGCCCTGCCCTGGGTAGGTGCGGTCAGGCCTTCATTGGGATGTGCCATGGATCTAGTTCCCTGATGTCAAGAAGGGTGTCCCTGCCTGCCCCTCCCCACTCTCCCAGCACCAGTGGAGGCTGAGGTTCTGGAGGAGGATGCGATTTACCTACGGAGTCTCCATGCAGCAGGCGCTGGAGGTCATCAAAGGAGCGGATGGAGCGGTCACTCAGCATTTCATAGAGTTCCTCTGGAATGGGGTCCCCCTGTTGAGCAGACACCAGGAACTGAGTAAACTGGGGTGAAGGGCTCACCAGGCATGGCTCTCTTACCAACCACATGCTTTCTCTTGCACAGAGTTCCTACGAGGCTCCTCTGTCCCCAGCAATAGGCAGTAAGGCTGGGAGTAGGTGGGATGCGAGGCTGAACCAGGAGCAGAAGCCCAAAGGCTTAAAGAGCTAAATCCAGACTGAGATGCCCCACCCCAGCCCTCCACGGTATCCAGACTTGCCCCCAGCTCCAAGGCTTGTCTACATCTGTCTCCCCCATCAGATCACAGGTCCTGGAGAAACTCCAACAATCTCACTTCTCGATATGCTCCCTCCACACCTGGTAGCTAAGACATGCACGCCGTATGTGCAGGGGCCCCCAGTGTGAGCAGAGGCTTCGTGCAGACAATGACAGTGAAGTGTGTTCTCCAGCTCCCCGCCCCCCCCCCCCAGCCCAAGAGATGCTTAATAATGCTTGCTGAGTTGTGAGGTCTCAGAAGGCTGTGTGTCCCAGTGCTACCGAAGTAGTCCCTGCCAAAGAGGAAATAAGGGAATCCTCAGGCCCAACCAGGAACCTGAGCGCTTACCCATGCATGCCCCATGCCCAACCAAACGCTATTTTTAGAGTCCCTCTGGCCTGTCACCAAACACTTGAAACTTAGTTAGAACCTTAACAGGCCTCACTACAAGCCAGCTTCCTCCGGGGAAACCACAGGTCCCACAATCACATCATACAGCTGGAGACAGAGGTCACCGCCACATCGCCACAGCTCCAGGAGTCTCAAGAGCCTGGTGCCAAAGGCTGCAAGAGGTGAGGGCAGAGGGGACTGGGAAGTGTCCTCACAATAAGGAGCAAAGGAAGGACGCAAGATGCCAAGGCATGTCTAAAAGCTGGGGCCACGATGAGTGCACACGCATGTGGTACATACATACATACAGGCTTGTGAAAAGACCGTGCAGTTTGAGAGAAGCTCTGGGAGGACTAAGGCACTCTGTGCCTCAGTTTCCCTGGACTGAAAAGTGAAGAAGCCCTGCCCTGTGTTCACTGAACCATGCTGGTACCGGCGCTTTGAGGACTAAGCACAGGAGTGTGTGTGTGTGTGTGTGTGTGTGTGTGTGTGCGCGTGTGCACGCCCTCGTGTGCACGGGTATGTGTTTGAGAATGGGGTTTGCTGCTCTCTCACTGTCTATGGTGGAAAAGAAGCTCTTGCCCCTGGCCAGCTGGGGGAATCTCCTCAAAAGCTGCATGTCTGAGACACTTGTTGAGAGCCAGGTGCATGATGCCCCGTGCCCACCTATGTCCCAAGCTGCTCTGGAGGCAAAGGCAAGATCTCTTTTTTGTGTCAACCTGAGGCAAGCTAGACTTGATTGTGAAGAAGGAACCTCAATTGAGAAAAAGTTCCTATCAGACTGTGAGCAAGCCTGGGGGGTATTTTCTTGATTGGCTGACTGATTGATTGATGTAAGAGAGCCCAGATCCCTGTGGGTGGGTGGGACCACCCGTGGGCTGGTAGACTTGTGGCCTATAAAAAAGTAGGCTGTCAAACCATGAGGAGCAAGCCAGTAAGTAGCAGCCCTCCATGGCATCTGCTTCAGTTCCTGCTTCCAGGTTCCTGCTCTGCTGGTTGGTGCTGTGGAATTGCAAGCTGACATAGATTCTATCCTCCCCAAGTTACTTTTGGCCATGGTGTTATCATACAAGCAAAAATCTAAAGCAGTTTGGGTTTGATTTTTAAAGACATGGTCCTATGTTGCCCTAGCTGGCTAGCATGAAACTCAAAAATAGACTAAGACAGCCGTGAACTCAACAATTCACCTGCCTCTACTAAGTGCTGAGATTAAAGATGTGAGTATGCCTAGCAGGAAGATCGTTTGAGGCCAGGAGTTCCAGGCTAGCCTGGGCACCATAGAGAGACCCAGTCTCACTTAACACAAAACAAAACAGAAACAGAAACACCTTGTAGTCCTTGACACTTGCGGTAATGTTTAGAAAATATTCCTCAGGAATTCAGTCATACCCACCTCTGGTCCCCCATGTCAACCTAGGAAGTAGAGGATACAATCTGGGGACTGGAGGGGGGGCATAACTCCTTGAAATCTGGCTCCTGGGATCCCATTTGTCATCTGGGTCATTTTGTTCAATCATGGAGTTTATGAACCTGCCTGGTATCCTGGGGATGTCAGGAGTTTGAAGGAGAAGCTGGGGTGAGGACAGGGGCTTGGCGGCCTATAGTGTCCACAACTTCACAGTTGGGCCGAGACCTGCAGGACAGATTTCAACGCTGGTCTAGAGAAGGCCACTGCCCCCAGTTCTGTCAAACTCAGAACTGGTATTCAAAAGACTTGGATTCCTTCCTCACCCTGCTACCATCTGCAGTGTGACTTCCAGCTGGCCACTGCCTCTCTCTGGTTTGGGCTCTCATCTATGAACTGAGGATGCGTTCTAATTCTTCCTGGGGGTGGCAGAAGGAGCAGACGCTAGCTGGAGCCAGGATGTGTAAGGTGGCTTGCTTGCCCAAGAGAATGAGAAGTGAGTGGTGGCTCAATCAGCCCTGGGGGGTACTTCTGCCAGGATCTCCTTGTCCACTCAAGGGCTGGCTGGAGCTGCCAGTGAGGCAAAGCAAGCTGAACCCTGAACAGACCAAGTGAACACCTAAGGCTTCAGTCCACCAGGCAAAGGAATCCATCACGTGGAGACAAACGTGCTCCTGAACCCCAGATGGAAGCCGTGGAGGTGCAAAAGCACTCTGCTCAGTAAACACTGGTATTCATCCCTTTCTCTCCAGGGCTTCTCTCAGCTGTGCTCCTTCAAGCCAGGCACTGACCAAACAAAATGCATCACCAAGTGCAGTCCTGAGGCCAGCGTTATCGTTAGTCCCATATTCCAGATGGGAGAACTGAGGCTGAGAGAAATTAATCCACAGTCACAAGTCTAGATGACTAGTCAGTGGCAGAGGTGGGTCCCTCCAGGGCCATAGCATGCCTACCTGCTCCTGGCCCACCAGAAAAGGTTCAAACATGCTTCCCTTCTCTTCTGATGATGCCACTGGACCCAGCATCGTTTGAGATTCCTGCTGTTTCCCTTGTCCTTATCTCTCTCCTTTTTGGTTTTTCAAGACAGTCCTGGCTGTTCTGGAACTCACTTTGTAGAGCAAGCTGGTCTCAAGCTCACTGAAATCCGTTTGCCTCTACTTCCCGAGTGCTTGGATTAAAGTCGTGCTCTTCTTACAGCAATGGTCACAATTACACATTGATATCATCTGAAGACATTTTTGGTGGTCATGGCTAGAGACAGGTTGCTAGCATCAGTGGGTGGTGGTAGGGATGCTATTCACCATCCCACAGTATGAAGGATGTCACGAAGGATACAGTATCACTGGTCCCAAATACCAACAGTACCAGAGGTGAGAAACCCACAATAGAGGAGTCAGGGCTCCCCATATTAAGGGAACCGTGGTGCTCAGAGTAAATCATCAAAAACCTTACTTTCTGCTGGACGTAACAGCACAGGCCTATAATCCCAGCTGCTTAGAAGGCTGAAGACAGGATTGCAAGTTCAAGGCTACCCTGGGCTAAAGGATAAATTTAACGTCAGCCTGGGCTATGAAACAAATTCAAAGGCACTTAGCAATACCCTGTCACAGAATAAAAGCAAAGAAAGGGCTTTGAGTGTGCCCACTGGCAGAACAATTGCCTAGCGTTAGTGAGTCCTGGGTTCGGTCTGAGGAAGACTGACAAAGAAACAAACTGTATCTTTCTCCCTTAAGTAGAGCTAACCACAACTGGCCCTGAAGTCCCTGGTAAGTGTAACTGTACAGAGCAAAGCAGCCCTGAATTAAGGGCATTTAACGAGATGTTATTGCTTTCGTCACCAATTCTTTCATATGGCTCCCTGAGAGCAGCATGACACTCGTGGGCCAGACAATCACAATACTTTCAAGGATGGTGTCGGGTGGGTGGAGAGCTGCCGTCCTCAGGACAGAGTGTGACTTTGTCCTATCCCCCGCGCTGGGTAACAGGAAATGCAACCTAGCTCCACGTTGACACTACTAGTTGCCCTGTGGGCTGGTGGGTCTCTTCCGGGACTGGAGGTGTGAACAGTTAGCCTGACGTCCACTCCAGGATGCTGTCAGTGTCTGTGTGTGTTCTGCCACAGGTTCTGGAAGCCTCTAGGTGGGCACCCACAGTAAAGGACACCTGACAGCTTGAAGAAGCTGCCCCAGGTCTCAGGCCTGGGGCTCCTGGTAGGACAAGGGTGTGGCGTGGAAGCAGTCAGGGCTAAGCCAGCCTGGCAGTCAAGAGAAACAGCCTCCTCCCTGCCCCGCCCCCAAAGCCAGCTGCAGGAGGCACGAGCAAGCGTGAGGCCAGGTGAGTTACCTGCTCCCAGCCAGGCTGGCAGATCAAAAGGGCTTGTACCCCACCCTCCACCTGGGCCCCAGCACAGCACACACATACACACACACAGGCAGACATGCACTCCAGTCTGCTGCCACTGCAGTGAGGGAGATGGGCTCTCTGCCCAGCACCCAGGGCGTTGTCTGTGGCTGGCAGAGGCAGAAGCTGACGAGGCCTCCTAGGGCCTGCCTGCTTGCCGACTTGCGTCTCATGCCGTATTTAGACGAGATGGCAAAGAGCTCTTTGAAGAAGCCCTTTCTGGGTACAATATAGATGCCTTTTGGAGACAGATTTTCTACCCAGCAGTTCCCTTCCTGGTTCCTGGGATTACCCTCTCTCTCCCTTATCCATTCTCCCACCCCCTGCTGCTCCTGCATCCCAGCCCAGTCCACCAGCCTCCCCTACCTCTGCTAGAGCAAGAGAAAAAAAATGTCAAAGCTGGAAGAAAAGGACCGGTCTTAAGGATGTGCCTGCCACCCTGATGGCCCATTGCAATCACTGCCTCCCACCTCAACTCAATGGGAGCCAGTTCCCATTATTTGTAAACTAAATGAGTCCAACCTGCTCCATATTTTAGGTGAGGGAAACTGAGGCCCAGCCTGCCTCTCCTTCATTGTCTTTCTACCTCAGTCCTCCCTGCCGACAGTCCAAGTCCCAAGACAGAGAAAGTGTATTGGAATACCTCACCACGGCGGAGGGGCGGGGTTACAAACCAGATGCCCATTTTGCAATGCACTGTACCGTGGGCGGCTGCCCTCAGAGGCCAGGCTTCACCCAGGCTGTGTTAATAAAGCACGCCTGGCCTGAGCCCACTCCACCATTCATGGTTCTTTCCACGCTCCTTTGGTGATTGTGCAGGCTACAAGCACTCCACTAACACAGCGGGAATCAAGACAAAAGTCCCTCTGGCGCAGTGTGCAGTTCATGGGAGAAAGCAGGGAACAGGCAGCTAAATAAACCAAAAGTGGAAAAGTTGTCCTAGTCAGGAATGATAGTGCATACCTGTATCTCTAGAGGTGGCGGTAGGAAGATCAAAGGTTCAAGGCCAGCCCCACATACACAGTGAGTTGGGAGGTAGCCTGGACTACATGAGACCTTGTCTCAAATAAAATATCGGAAAGAAAATATATCACAGAAAAAGCATCAAAAAGAGGGAGGACATCATGAACCTAGAGAGAACACCTTGAATTGATTCCTCCAGGCAGGCACGCACTTCCTGCCTCTTGCCTTCAGGCCTCTGGAATCTATCTGACCTTGACTTTCACAATTCCAGGCAGGGGGATTCCAGCAAGTGGGTTTCCCCACCCCCCTATGGCCATTAGGAAGCCAGAAGGAGACTGGGTTGGTGGCTATGGGGCCCCACCACTCCTTCCCGGCAGAAGGGTGCTGAGGCAGACAGATTGTCACATGACAGTCACCTTCTGGGAAGCTAGCTCAGCTGAGAGAGAAGAGGCCTCAGCAGCCTTTTCAGACTCTCCTCCAGCCTGCTTCCAACACCTAGACCTCCCTCTAAATACAGCCAACTTCGGGGTCACCTCCAGAAGCAAGCCCCTCCTTCTGTCTTCCTGCTTGCCTGGGCTGGCCCTATGGGGACAGGGTCCTCAGAATTTCAGTACTCCTCATAGTTATCAGGGAAAGTCAACTGCAAAACGCAGTGCAATTGCGGTCCCAGAAGCGTCTATGGAGGAGCAAGGATGAGCTTCTGAGCTGCAGCCTCATTCCCAAATGCGAATATTCACGGCAGTGGTGGAGTGCTCCTGGAGGAAGCTGGGCTGGTTAAGACGGCCTGGGAAGCCGCATTCAGATGTTACAAATCCAGCAGCCCCTGCCAGGATAGACAAGTAGGGAGGATGTAGGGAACACACTAGGTAGGCTGCGTCCTTTATGTCTTGGAGGGCAAATGGGTGCTTATTTGAAATGAAAAATGCTTAGCTATCCCAGCACTCTAGGGTCACGCCAACATCACTATCGGCCATCACCATCGGTTACACAGGGGTGGTTGAAAAACCGTTACAGAGAGGCAAAGTTTGAGGGATACCAAGCTGCTCTAACCAGGCCAAAAAAAATGGGTGCTGCAGATCCCAGATCAGGATCTGGGATTGTCCCTTCCTCCTTAGATCCCCCCCAGGAAGGAAATGGGATGGCTACAGAGGTGGTGAGGTGCCAGGGCCCACGGCGAGCCCACCTGTTGCGTGGGGGCGGGCACCTGGCACTAAGTGTACAGAGGGGCTGTGCGTGCCTGTGTGCGTGCGTGGGTGTGTGAGCGCACGTGTACTCGGGCCGCGCGCGCGTGTGTCCCGCGTGTGCACGGGCGTGGCGGCGGGCGCGCGACCTGGCTGCCTTAGTGCGTGCCCGTCGCTCTGCGCGCCCGCCCGCGGGAGCGCAGCATCGCCTCCGGCCAGGAGTGTGCATGCGTGGGGTGAGTGAGGGAGTCGGGGGCCGGGCGGGGTGGGCTGCAGAGAGCAGCCGCGGGGCGCCGCCGTTCTCAGGACGCCCTGGCACCGGGCCAGCCCCCAGGTCCCCACGGCGCGGCGAGGCGAGGCGGCAGCTGGGGCCTCCAGGCGTCCCCCTCCCCAACAGCTGGCCGCACCCCTGGGGGCTGCAGGCGGAGCGGGGAGGGGGCGTCGCGAGGGGCCTGCTGCGGCCGGGCCATGCCCAGCTTGCTCTCTTTCGGGCTCCGGCCGCGGGGGGCGGCCGCGGAAGGGCGGAGCCCCCAGGGCGGGCGGCCGGCGGCCCTCGAGGAGTCCCAAGAACAAAAGGAGACGGCGACGGCTCCTCCGTGGTCAAAACAACCTGCGCTGGCGGCGGCCCAAGGTCGGGCCGCGGCCTCGGAGCCCTCCGCCTTAACCCCTTCCCTGCCGCCGCCGCAGCCGCCGCCGCCTCTGCCCTGCGCTTGGCTGCGGACGACGACCGGGCTGGCCTTGCCCGCAGCCTACTAGGTGCGGGCTCTGGACCTCAGCGGGCGGAGGCGGGACGGGCCCCGGCCACGCCGCTTTCCCGGCCCTCGCCCCGCTCCAGCTCGCGCCTCCTCCTGCCCCGCCCCCTTCCCACCTGGATTCCCGGTAGACTTGCCAACTCACTGCTACGTGAAGCTGGGAGGCGTAGGGGCACCGATCCGACCTGATAGCTCCCGCAGACGTTTCCATACCCCACCTCCCTTGCAGCTAGGCTTCTGCAGGCGCGCACTCCGCAGCCTGCATGCGGGGGAGAGAGGTGCTTCCTCTCGCAGGGCGCTGGCGCAGGTACGGCCGGGCCTCACACACACACCGCCCCTGGGGCTGGATTCCTTAAGAACTCTCCCCCCCTCCCCCCACCCCGCGCGCGCCCCAGTCCTGTCTGTACTCCCAAGCGTCTGAACCTACCGTATGTCTGTCTGCCTGTCTCTCTAGTGTCTCTGTCTCTCTCTGGGCCCCAAGATACAAGGTGCTTTTGGACCGTCCAGCACGACCCCGAGGTGCCCACCCTAGCCCAGAGCAGAAGCTTGGGTGGGACCAGAACGCTCTCCAAAGGTCTCCGTGGATATCCTGAGATCGAGGGCGCACACCACTAGGGCAGGCCGGGTCCTGGGCAGAACCAAAGCCCACGCTGGTTCCAAATGGACTCAGGAGATCGCGATGTCTTAGGCACCCTAGATACCACCCCACCCCTTCTCCCCTGGCCTGGAAGGGGCTTAAGAGCTCTGGCTCGTGAGGCAGAAGGCAGGGCAACACACACCTCCCAGGACGCCACGGAGGTTTAGGGCTCTAGGTTGGTCTACTGTAAAGAGAAACCCACCGCTGTCTCGTCATAGATTCCAGAACCCTGGACCTGGCCTCCCAGCCCTTGGGGCCACCCAGTGCCCGGCGCCTGGCTCTCGGGCTGCGGGGCTCCAAAGTTCACTGCAGGGAGAGGAGGGGGCGGACAGGCGTGGGGGCTGGGACGGCTAGGGAAGGATCCTGCCCCGGCGCCGTCGCAACTCACCTCGGCGCTGACCAGACGCAGGTAGCAGCAGAGAGGCAGGAAGAGCGCCCAGCAGCGATTCATGCCGACTCCGGGCCCGGCCCCGCGGGGCCCCGGACGCGTAGACGGAGCGCGCCGCCCCCGCGGCCAGGGTTGGGGGCTGGGGAGGAGGGTGGGCTCCGCTCGGGTCCGCCGCGATCAGGCTCTCAGGCCGCTGCAGCCGCCGCCGTGGCTCACCCGCATGGCCCCCGGGCGCCGCCGCCCCCGGCCCCGGCTCCGTCGCTGGGGGGCTGGGGAGAACCTGGACACGGGACCAGGGTCCGAGGCCGCTACCTGGGCGGATCCCGAGCCCACGCGAGCATCCACGGCCGGGGGGCTGCGTCGCGAACCAGCCAAGGCGTCTAGCCGTGTGGGGGCGCGCAGGGGACTCCAACCTCCGAGAGGAAAAGAAACACGACAGTCGATGGTTCGTCTTCACTCGCCTGCTAAAGGCGTGTTCCTCTGCCCGCTGGCTTAGCTTTTTTGCAACATTTTTTGGAAAGGCTTCCCAGATCAGAAAGCTCAGGGCTGAGCACCTCCAAGCCCAGGTCTCCCCCAAAAAACTTTTTTCCAAAGTTGGCTTTGCAGCGGTGGCCCAAGCGCCCGGGCAGGGAGAGGTGCAAACTCCCGCCCGGGCCGGGTGGCGGGGCGGGAGCGTGTGCGCCCTGGCGCGGGGCCCAAGCGGCGGGCACGGCTGCTCCGAGCGCGCGGCGCGCCCACTGCGCGCTGGGCCGACCCGGGCCGACAGGTGGACGCGGCGCGGGTCAGTCGGTCGATCCGCCCACCAGCTCGCTGCTCAAGGCGTCCTCTGCGGGTTTCTAGCTGCGGCTGCTCCGGCTTACTCGTTACAACGAGGCTGGGGGGGGGGGCTTTTTTCCCCCTCCTTTCCCTTTTGCGCGTGTGTATGTGTGTGTGCGCAAAATATCTCTGGAGAAAAAAAGATGGGCGCTGGCGGCCAGAGGGGAGCCCTCAGGGAGGCAGCGGGGGAGGCAGGCAGGCTGCTCCCGGCTGCAGGAGAAGTTGCCACCCTTCAGCTGTTCCGGCCTTTATAAAGGAGAAGGGAGAGTGCTAGAGGTGGGTGGAGACAGCCTTTCCTCCCCTGGCCCCGAGTCAGCGCCGGGAGGGGGGCAGGAGCCAAGGGAGGGCCTAAGGCGAGGACTGCAGCTTAAGGGGTCTCTGAGAGCCAGGCAGTCCCTCTGGTGGTAAATCTAGCCCCTTGGCAAGTACTGGAGGTGAACCATGGCCCCACCCCTTGGCACAGTGACCTGTGTTTAGGGGCATGTCTACAGGGCCAGGACCAAGACCAGGAGTGTAGCCCCTGAACCCCAGAACCAGACATCTGCAGCCTGGCAAAGGCATGATGATGAAGGACTGGGGCTCTGCAACCTGGCAGCTTAGATTCAGGCCCTGTCTAATTGAGTAGCTGGGTCACCTTGGGCAAGTCACTTTCTTCTGTGCTTCACCATACATTTCTTTAAGTGGGGACAGGGTATTGGGTGGCTTAAATGTCAGAATGATCAGAAAGCATCCCGCAGCACACCAGCCCCAAGGTTAAAACTCTTAAACCCACAGTGGGAACCCTTCAGCTACAAGCTGGGTCTGCCTCTCCTTGCTTGTTGCCTGGCACACAGAAGGCGCTGCCATGCCAGCATGGGCTGGATTTGAATTTGTTGAACTGCAAAGTCACACAAACCCCCACAGCCCTGCAGCAAGCATCCTCACAAGGCTGCCACAAAGATGCCACCATCACCAGGGTGTTTACTACCTCCCAATGTCCCCCAGTTCCAGACCCAGAGGCCACCCACCCACACCAGCAGTCTCACAGTTAACACCTTCCACCCCCAGCTCAGGGAGCTGCTGTGTCCCTGCCTTCAGCAGTCACAGTGACACAGTCATACTCACGCTTGTTGGCCCAGCACCCACCACAAGACCAGCAGGCTCACTGCATTGCCTCCTGCCTTTAGGGCACCTTGTCCTCAGCTACTTCTGCTGCCTGTCACCGCTCCTTGGTCCCCATGTCAGCCTGCAACTCCACACAAGCTGAGTGGTGCTACTGCCTCTCTTGGCCCTGAAGAGGGTGGTGCTGGGTGAAGGAGAACCTCCCAGGCCTCTTTACACATGACTCCAGGCATCCACTTTCCCAAATGACCAGCTAGCAGCGTGGCCCAGTGGCTGGAAGATCGCCTGCCTGGGGCAGGTGACCTTTGGGCAGGTTATTTACCCTCTCCAGTGGCACCTTGCTTTCCTCCTCTATAACTTGGAGATGCAATTGGAGGAAAAGAGGAATTTCAATGGAGCCTGGGAAAACCATAGGGGGTTGGAAGTGCTTGCCATCTTTGTGGTTGATGATAGGTTCCTAGGATGGGGGTGTGGGGGGTAGGTTTGTTGATAAAGTGCTTACATGAAGACCTGAGTCTGTTCCCCAGAACTCATCGAGAAAACCCGGCAGAGCGGCACACACTTGTAATCCCAATGCTGGGGAGGTGGAGATCGGAGCTTGTTGGTCAGCCAGTCTAATCAGTGAACTTCAGGCCAATGAGATTTTGTCTCAAAGGAGGTGGACTGACTACCCGAGTTTCTCCAGTCTCCACACTCACCTGCACACATTTGCACGTATGCACACACAACAACACACACACACATTAACTTTGTTTTTAACCGATACATGCAGTTGGTTGGACCTCAACGCAGTGAAAAGGGTTTGCCCTCCTCACCTGGTTGTAGGAAGCTGACAAAAGATGACTTCTCCATAGGACCACCACTCAGGACAGACAGATGTGCTGGGAGACAAGCTGGCCAGCCTAATTGTGAGGAGATAGTCCAACACACTAGATCCTGTGTCAAGATTTAAAAATGCTTCCACCAGACAGCTGGGTGAGCTCCCCCTTACCATGTTCGTTTCTAGGAATACAGTGATAGAGCCAGCATTGAGTGGAGCGTACACACCCCCTCAGTGCTTCTGGGAGATATATTAGTCCATTGGTAGCAGCATAAAAACTGGAGCACACAGGGACTCAGCAACTTGGACCAGGTCACATGATATCAGTAAGTGTTGGAGCCACCGCTTGGGCTCCAGGGTCCAGCTACAGAGCCCAAATCTGTAACCCACCATGCTGTACTATTTTCTGCAGGTGATGGGATGATGACCACAGTGGCACTATAATTTTTTTTAACCTATGTATAGGAGTTTTGTGTGGGTATGTCACATGCATGCAGTAACCATAGAGGCCAGGAGAGGGCGTCAGAGCCACCGGGCCTGAAATTACATGAGCCACCACGGAGGTGCTGGGAATTGAACCCCATTCCTCTGGAAGAGCAGCAATGTCCTTTGATCTCTCTAGCTCCCCTCCCCCCCCTTACACACACACAAGGGCACTTTTGCACAGAGGCAGGAGAGGCAGCAGGGACTGCAGGTGCTGAGATGAATGCTGGGACAGCCCTGTTCACCTCCTTGCAGGGGACCTCTCCCAGTACCGTCCTCTCTCTCACCAGGATGGACAGACACAGCAGGCACCTCTTCCAGGAAGTCTGTCAGGCTTGACACTTGCTCCTCCGGGCTCTCTGTATGCGCCCCCACAGAGCTGTCTGGACACTGCTCTTGAGTTGAGCATAAATGGAGGTTCTCGGTGAGTATCTGCTGGTGCAGTCAATGAATGAGCAGATATCCTGCCTGCTTCCCCCTCTCCACCCTAGCCAGAGACATCTTCTGCGGAGACACCAAACCCCTCCTAAAAGGTGGCATGCTACAAAACTCAAGCACAGGGGATCCGAGATCTAAAGTGTATCCCGTCCTGTCTGTCCATCCGTGTCACCCGCCCCCCTGTCACCGCTGCCATTGTTACAGAGGTGGATCTGGAGGTCTCAGACCTGGGAAGACAAGACCTTGGAGTGGGGGGGCCTCACCCACCCCACACTCTGACCCATATGAGCTAAGTGGTATAGTGACTGCCAGACCTCTGAGTGCTGGGGTAGGTTTGCCCATTACGGGGGGACTTAGCCAACTTTAGAGTGGTCTCAGCCCTTGTCCATTAAAACCATCTGCCCTCGTTTGGTTTCTGTTGCGGTGATGAAACACCGTGACCAAAAGCAGTCAGTGTGGGAAGGAAAGGGTTTATTTGGCTTTCACAATCTGATCACAGTTCTTCACTGAAGGAAGTCAGGGCAGGAACTCCAGGCAGGGTCCCGGAGGCAGAAACTGATGCAGAGGCCATGGAGAGGTGCTGTGTACTGGCTTGCTTCCTTGTGGCTTGCTCAGCCTGCTTTCTTTTACAACCCAGGCCTACCTGATCTAGGTGGCACTGCCCACGGTAGGCTGCGCCTTCCCGCATTAATCATTAATCAAGAAAATGCCCCACAGACCCGTCTGACGGAGATGTTTTCTCAGCTGAGGTTCCCTCCTCCCAGATGACCCTAGCTTGTGTCGAGTGGACAAAAAAACTGACCAGGACACCATCTATACCTGGGTGTGGTCACTTGGGGCCTGGCTGGAGCTAGGAGATGTCAAGGAAGGAGGTGGCTCCTTCCCAGGGTCTCCACCTTCAACAGTGCCTGGCAGCCATGCTTTTCCCCCCTGCTACAAAATGACCTTGCGTCCAAACCCTGAACCGTGCGACGGCAATGCCCATGCACTACCCCCTGTGTATGGTGGCCATCCCCTGCCTTCCTGTGGAAGAAACCTATGGTAAGACCTATGGGGCCTCGTCCCTGTTCTGCCTCACCTCAGAGCTGCCAGACGGGGAGAGAATGCCATCACCCACACTCACCCACACTCATTTTACAGACAAGAGACCAAAAAGTCAACCCCCAGGGAAAGACTGCCTAGATCTAAAGTCCACTTACTAGCTGTAGGACCTCGGGAAAATTACTTAACCTCTCTGAGCCTCAGTTAACTCTTCTGTAGCTGTGGGTACCGGTAGTAAAGCGATAAGCCCCTCATTGGTTAAAATGACTTCACACACGCGGCCATTGAAGGCACAGCATGGGCACTGTACAAATGCTGACCTTGATAATACTAAGGTGGTGCGTGTGTGCACACACCCACCTCCAAACCCAGCATCCAGTGTTAGGAAAACAGCCCACGGCTGGAAGGAGCATAGGCCTTCAGAACTGGGAGCGGCTTGTCCTCGTGTAGGGCCCTCGCCTTTCTGTCGGATAGATACTCCCTTCTTCCATGAGTCTCTAGCCCCTGTGCTGTGAGTCTTAGGGTGCAGGGAGCCCAGAAAACCAGGCAGATGGACCCACAGGAGCCTATCCTGCAGCCTTGGGCCTGTCAGGTACACAGGGCAAGGGAAGCCAGTGTTTGTTTACGCCACCAGGCAGAGCCGAAACATTTTTAGATCCTCCAGGCTCCAGACAAGGAAAAGGATGTGAGTGTTTGGACCAGCAAATCAGAGCTACCTACCTGGAAATGGCTGGGAGAAGCCGAGTCCTCCAGTGTCGCAGAGCCGGCCCAGATGGCTGGGAGGAAGCCCACCCACAGCTCTCTTACTGGAGTGAACAAAGGTCTCTTCTCCCTGGAGAAGACACCCCCCCACCAGCTGCACCCGTGCCAGGGTTGGGGCACCAGCAAAGTACAGGCTCGGGTCAGCCTGGAGGCCCTTCCTGGGCCTCTGTCATGGCTGCCTCAGCTGTAGAGCACAGCGGGGATAGGGCAGTTGTACCCCTGGAAAGCAAGGACAAGAAGATGGCTGCATCCACCCTGAGCCCTGGTCCGTGGTGCCTGCCATGTTGCCTGGCTCAGGGTGGCCCAGCTTTGGTATGTTGTGGGGTGCAGACACCGTATGTGCTCCCTGGAGGGACCTGTTAGGGTTAGAAGTGAAAAGTCAGGGATTCTGTGTACCCCAGGACTCGCCCAGAGCAGGGAGCCACTGCGGGGAGAAACGCACCGCACCCCGCACAGAGTGGGGGGGGGGGGGAGAAGCCATGTTCTGGGGATGGGTTCGCCAGCTCTCTGTAAATTAGCGTTGTCAGCCATGTTCTGAACATTCTGGAAGGAATGGGGCAGGAGGGAGGGACAG